TTAGAGAATGATTAAAAATTAAATAAATATATTAAGACTAAATAAAATTAAAATAAATAGGACATCGCTACTTTAGCAATGGGTAAGGAAAATTATTTTAGTTTTAGGATGCATTAAGCATTATGGGTATAGTATTCTTTATTCGTTGCATTATTGATTGGGTATCCTATGGTGCAGAATATCGAAAACTCAATTTTGGTGATCCTCTTTGGTATGGACAGATCACCAGAGTTTAGTTAGAATGCGAACCCGACCCTTAACAAGCTGATGGGTAGACCGGTTTACCGTGGGTAGGCCTGTCAACGGATCGGTATAACCCGAATCTGATCCAAATACGAATCGATTAACCGACATTTTATACATAATCGAAATTCAAAAATTTGTTTAATCCGAATCTCATAGCCGATTTAAACGTTTGGATTCGGATAAATCCGATTTCCGTCCATTGTTGCTAATCCGATTGAGTTCTAGAAACCAATCAGATCTCTCCAAAATCAGATCCTCTATCTTCGTCTCTTTCATCATTTATCAACAGACAATTACTGGATCTCCTCTCATAATCAATCTCTCTCTAATCATCTCTTCCTCTCCGATTGACGACGATGCAACTAGCCAACAAATCAAGCTCTGTGACCCGTTTCTGATCTAGTATTCTTCGGTGATCGTAATAAACCCTACATGCTTTCCAATAACATGGATTAGCCGTAAACTGAACTTGTTATAGACTGACTAACTGAACTTGATCAATAATCAGCTTAAAGTACTGAACTGACTACTGAAACCGAACTGAAATTGACTGAGTATGTATTGAATTTTGCATTCATATCTGTGGAATTAGATTATGTGATTGTGTTGTGTTTTATGTTTAACCGTTATGGAAGGCCTTATCGGCGCGATCCGGAAGTGACTTTTGAGGTTTTATGTCATCATATTTATGTGGATTTACGTATTATTTATCTGAAAACTGCTTTAGGGTATGATTAAATTAGATTAAATATGACTTAATGCAAGGTTGCACTTTATTTACCATTTTTGCCATGGTGATGGCACTTACTATACATCTTTAGCTCATACAAATAACCAAACATTGCTCAACCTTTTTCTTGAGAGTGTATAGCCGCATGAGAGTGGAGCGTGAGAGAATTGGTTGTATCTGGAATTGCTCGGTTAAATTGAAGTGTTAGATTGCTTTTGAGCTCCCAACCATTGATACAAGCTAAAGTAGGACTTCTTTCTTGCTGTTGTCATAAGAATTGATTCTTATGTTCATGCTTCAATTGTATAGTTAGTTCTTGCTCTTGGTTTAGTTCATACATGTTGATATAGAGCTCTTCATGTTGCATGTGTGATGTTGAGTTTGAGTACTGATTCTGGGTTTAAAATGGTACTATGCATGCCATTAATTTGATTGGTCCATGTTATTCAACTTGTTTTTTGGATTCAATTGGCTCTTAGAGCATCAAATGGAATTCAAAATGAGTTTAAATTATGCCAAGTTGCATGTTATTTGTCTTGAAAATGTTTATGAAATTGGATTTTGAATTAACACTCCTTGGACTATTTGATTTCTTAAAATTGAGCTTTGAACCATGTCTTCTGATGCTTACAGTGTTTTTCTGAAACTTCAGCCCAAGAGGACGGTTTTGATTTGCATATAAAATTGGTTTTTGGCTTGGAGGTGTTCATATGGAATTCCAGATTTTCACTTCCGTCGAGGGAAAGTGTGGCGCATCGAGCGTTAGAATCGAGCACCAGTATCTCTCACTGTTTTACATTCCGCTCATGAGCGGAGGATTGGGCGGCCGAGCGAGGATTGTGTCTCAAGCTCGAGGCGGGGCGACGACGCGAGATTTCACCAATCAGTCTTTTACGAGTACGCTCAGGCGGGAAAGTTGAGCTTCAAGCGTTGTCCTTTGTTGCGATGCTGCTCAAGGGAGGGAGGGGGAACTCCTCGAGCGAGAACTCTATTTTCTGAAAATTCTGAAAATGCTTTTTAAGTACATCTTGGAATTCCTCATTCCATGCGAGGCATTCGTTAGGGCCTAGTTAAGGCACTCATTGAGGGCGCGGATAGGGTAGAACCAACGAGACATAGGTTAAGTTACTATCTTCCCACTGTGTGCTTAGTGTGTTCAATCTGTTAATGGCGAGGGTTGGCGACTGGGAGAGGCACGCTCTAGCTTATTACGTAGCCGGAATCTTTGTGAGAGTAACGATTGTGTAAAGATATGTTCACAAAATGATTTATCTTCTGGAACACAGAGCTGTATTGTTTTCTGAAACTGCATTACTGTTAACTGAATGATGGTATGTCCTGGATATCGAACTGTATTGGATCCTTGATACTGTTTACTGGTTACTCGCAGACAGAACTTCTTGTCGGTTGCCCTTGTTGGAACACACTACTGTTTTACTGACTGATGGCCATCACTCTGGTTCGGTTTTATAAGACTAGCTGCGACATTGTACTGTTATGCAAGTGTGACCTACATGCGACTGTACTGACTGAATACGAAATACTGTTTTAATGAACTGTTTTATACTGTAAGGAAATTCATGCTTAACTCTTAGCGATTTGTACAGGCTTGAGCCAGTTGCTCGCGGCATATATATTATGGTAGGTGTACAGCACCAGACACGGCTAGGAGGCGTCAGGTTATCCAGTTTTGTAACAGCCTCGTGCTCACTGCGAGGTTCCGAGCCTACTGCGATGCTCTTGGGTGTTTTGTTTACCCGTTTGTCTACGTTGGTTTTACTGAAGATCAGGCGCTACTGTACTGTGTATCAAGGGATTAGGTCCTGTATACTATTGTGATTGTAAATTTTGTATTAGACTGTACGGGACTGATACGGTCTGTATGTATTCGAATGCATGAAAATCATAAAGCCTTTTTGCATACAGACTGTCACAGCTCATTGGACATTGTTTATTTACTGTTTTGGCTTCCGCCAGGCCCTGTACTCTGTTTTACTGTATTACTGTTCTGCAGGCCTTCGGTAATCTCAGATTACTGGCCGGTTACGGTGCTAAACCCATAGGGCCGGGTTTGGGTCGTGACAGGTGAGCTCTCTGGTCAATATCAAATCTATCTTTCATTGTCTTCTTCTCCAACTTCTCTGATCCAGGTATTCTTCAGTGAGCTCTTTGATCCGTTTGTGTTTGTCATTGTATCTACTTTTTACTGCTTTGTGCTTGTGTTTCTCCTTTATATAAGAGGTCTGGGTTGTTTGTTTGAATGGAAAATCAATTCTGAAACATTTTCTTGGATGTTTTTGGGATTCTATATATTTGTTATTCGATGGGTACTTTGGGTTGTTTGTTAGAATGTAATATCATATATTTGTTATCAGTTTTGAATCAGGGGGTCGGTTGATTTATTTAAGCTGTTTCAACTTGGTGTTTTTTGTCTATTAGGCTGTATTTTTTCCACTATTTCCCTTATATTTTCCTTTCCATTTTCAAATCATTACCCCAATTCCATGACCCAAACACAGCCTTACTACATAGCAGTTTATATCTAGTCAACTTAGGATATGAGGAAGGAGAATTGCTACATAGCAGGACAGGTGAATGTTAATCCTATTATAGATTACAGTTGTCATATTTTTCAACTCAATGTGGAGACAAGAAAATGTGTTTATCTATATAAATTTTTATCTTAATTTTCACTTTTTATCTCGATAAAAATTGGTATTATAATCTATACTTTCATTCTGAAATTTCTCTTCTATGTTAGATTTATGGGTCTGGTCTATCTTTGTATTTTTAACTATGTTTCAATGGTCAATTTTGCTATTAATTATTTTGTATCTGTAAAATTATTGAATTAAGATGATTGGTGTCCATAGGTTTTGGAAATTGTGGGTCTCAATGACAGGATATTGGTTTAAATTCCCTTGTAGTACATGCATCTTTAAAACTCCACCATCTTATATATCTTCCACTAATTATATATCTATTATGGTTGGTGCATTATATTATGGTTGTCATTGCTATATTTTAATTGCATTGTTATATTTTTTTCCACAATTTATGATGTTATTTATGCATGCCAACACTTGCATTATTATACATTGAATCTCCAAATTGGTAATGGGATAGCTGCTTATCAGTTTTGTTGTTTTTAAATGAATTCCACATGCCTTTACAGTAGATTGATCACATGCACACAAATCTATATAATTTCCAAATTGGTGCACACTGTTTTTAAATGAACTCCTGCTCCTTTATGTTTGGTTCCTTGTGCAGTGCATATTTGAGTTTTTGAGCCAAAGATGTCTTCGGATTATAACGAACCTATTATTCCTGATGATGCCGAGTTGGATGACGATGTATCTCAAGGACCCACAAAGAGGATTCGAAAACTAACTTCGAAGGAATGGGATGGCTTTGTCAAATTTAAAGGACCTAGTGGAAATGACATAGCTAGATGTAAGCATTGCAATAGGGAATTTGTTGCAGAGAGTAGGAAAGGGACTAGTCATTTAAAAAATCATTTGTCGAAGACATGTCCAGTACTTAAAGGGCCAAATGCCCCTAGGAATGCTAGTAAGGCTTCTTCTGAATCTACTCCTAAGGCTGCAACTTTTAAATTCGATCAAGAGAGAAGTCGTATGGATTTTTCTAGGATGATAATCAAGCATAATTATCCTTTTAACATGGCTGAGCATGAGTTTTTTTAAATATTTTGCAATAATCTTCAACCAATGTTCAAACTTGTGTCTCGTAACACTGTTAGAGTGGATGTCCTTGATGTTTATGAAATAGAAAAGGCCAAGTTATATCAATTTTTGGATGAACTCTCTTCTAAGATCACCTTGACAACTGATATATGGACTTCAGACCATCAGAATTTTGCCTATACATGTTTGACTGCCCATTATGTGACTAATGATTGGGAGTTAAAGAAGAAAATCCTTGCTTATAGACGCATTGATTACCCACATGATGGAGACCATTTGCTTAGTTTATCAAAGATCTAATTTTAGAGTGGAACATAGATAAGAAGTTGTTTTCAATGGTAGTTGATAATGCGACGAGTAATGATGTCATGCTGAGACTCTTAAAGCGATGGCTACATGACCAAGGATTACTACATTTGGGTGGACAATTGTTTCATGTGCGTTGTAGCGCGCACATATTGAACTTAGTTGTTCAGGATGGTTTGAAGGTAATTGGGAGTCTTATTTGAAAAATCTGAGAAAGTGTGAGATATTAGGGGAGGTCTCCTTATGGAAAACAAAAATTTGATGTTGCAATGAATCATGTTAAGTTACATCATAAAAAGAAAGTCCCCATGGATGTTCCTACCAGATGGAACTCCACTTATTCAATGCTTGAAGCTGCATTAGATTTGAAAACTGCATTCCATCGTTTAGAGCAAATTAACAAACAATATAAGCATAATCCTTCTGAGGATGAGTGGAATGTAGCAAATGTGATCTGTGGGTGCTTGAAGAGTTTTTTTGATGCTACATCTCACTTTAGTGGTACCACTTTTCCTACTTCAAATGTGTTTTTTCCCGATATTTGTCTTATACAACTTGAAATGATAAAATGGGAGCAAAGTGAGTATGATTGTATTCAATTGATGGTTGGTCCAATGAGAGTGAAATTTCAAAAATATTAGGAAGAATGTTCTTTGGTGTTAGCAATTGCAGTGGTTCTTGATCCGAGATTTAAAATGGACTTGGTGGACTATTACTTTGGGCTTATTTATGGTGCTAATGCTAATAAGCATATCCAGAGGGTCCGTAATGGTTTTGTTGATCTTTTTTATGAGTATAGGAGTGATTCTTCTGATTCTATGAGTAGCATTGCACTTGTTTCTGAAAATAGTAGCTCAAGTGGTAGTCAATTGCTTGTCGGTTCTTCGAAACAAGAAAGTTTGGCTGCTTTTCATGCGTGGTATGCCCAAGAACGTGCTTCTAATATTCATGTCTATCAAAAATCAGAGGTGGAGCAATACTTGGAGGAGTTGGTGTTTCCAAGTAATGAGAGCTTCAATATTCTACATTGGTGGAAAGTGAATAAAGCAAAATTTCCTACTTTGGCAAGGATGGCTCGTGATGTTTTAAGTGTTCCTGCTACTACGGTTGCATCAGAGGCGGCATTTAGTGTAGGAGGTAGGGTGATTGATGAGACACATGCTTCATTACTTCCAGATATTGTGGAGGCCTTGATCACTTGCAATGATTCGATTGAATCAACCAAAAATAGAAGTAAGTCAAATATTGATGTTTTTAAATAATTAGATGTTATTTAGTTTAGTTCTATAAATATCTTAATGTCACATTATTTTGAAATTGCAGATGTAGAAGAATGCTGACATGAGTAGATGGATTGAATTGAATCACTTGAAGTAGATGGGTAAATATGGTTCAGATTATGGGGCTTGTCCCATGCCTTTATAGTGATCTATGAAATTCGTATCTGACATAATTCGATAATCTGTTTGTATATTAAGGTAATAGCTTTCTTGATTTGCAGGTTTGATAATGAGCTTAACAAAGTGGCTGCTATTAAAGTTATTGACTTGGAAGAATCTTGAGTATATAGCTTTAATGATCTCTCCTCTATACAATTTATTTGCTCACTCTCTTACTAGAACTGCTTGTGGTGAAATGTGGTTACATAACTTTTCTTCTTGGAAATGTGATTAAATTGTTTATATGCACTTTTATAACATCTCTAATTGATAATTTGTTTTCTACCTTTGAATGTTTACGTCATTAAGATGCTCTTTAAGTTCACAGAATCTTGCCTGTCGTTGGTTATCTTTGAAGCTTTTGGGATGCATTGACGAATTTGAACCACAAAAATTGACAAGGACTGCTGCCTCCTAACAACAAATTCTTGGATACGAGCTTCATGGTTTTCCTGGTATTCCAGAATCTATGAATCTGAGTGATCTGGTTGGAAGATTGTTCCTGCTTCAAATTGGATATACTGTTTTTTGGTAGATGTAGCAACTTTGAAAAGAGTTTTAATGTTTTTTCAATTCCGAAAAGTTTAACTGGTTGCATAAGCTTTCTGTAAGAGTAGGTGTTATAGTGCGGTAACAACGATGTTATATATCACAGCAGCTGCAGGTCTTTTGTACCTAACAATTCACTTTGAGAATGTTTAACTTTCTTGTCTTCAGAGATGTTATGCATTGTATATCAGATCATTTTGGGTTTGGTTTTACTTTGGGCTTTTGTGTGACTTTGTGTTAGGTGATGGGATATCTAATCCAGGTGGCTTTTGAGAATGTTTTTGTGCTATATCTAATCCAGGTGGCTTTTGTGCTTAGTGAACTTGATGTCAAAATCTTATAGGATCAAAATTTAATGTATATTTGTTTGTATGTGAAGAGGGTCAAATTGTTTGTATATCAGACATTGTTTTTTTATTTGTATATAACCATATGGACATTTTGTTATGCATGTGTTTATTGTGATATTACAGGTGGATGAAACTAATGAAACCTTGAAGGAAAATGGCAATGTTAGATCCCTATACTTCTTTTATTTATTATTTCTTACTATAAATTTTCATTTAACCTTGAAATGCCTTTCTATATATATATAAAGAGATGTCTGTTTGAGAAAGAAATATCAGTGTTGTGATCTGGGATGGACAGGACCTTAATGTCCTTTACATTTGTGGCGTAAGCCTGGTTGGAGCAATGTTCAGCAAATCCTTGGTATTGGATTGGAGTAAATATGTTTTAACTTTAAATTTTATTTTCAAATTTCAGGTTTATAAAAATGACAATTGTTTATGATATTATAACTTTTCATGTAATTTTTTTTATTGGGTTTCTCATTATGTATCATTTTGCTACTACTGGTAGGGCCTATGGTTACTAACCAGAGAGAGAGAAAGAGAGGGAAAAAAATCGGATCGGATCAGATTATACGGATCGAATATCTATTTAACACGGATTGGATCTGATTGCAAGTAATCGGATTTTTAATAATCAGATTCGGATTCGGATTAATAGTTAATCGGATCGGATTTCGATAGATCTGACCCGGATCCAACCCGTTGACAGGCCTACCTGTGGGTGGTTCCAACGGAGGTGGAACTACTTTGATGGAGGATTGGTGGCGACAGTACATTAGACAGATTTATCGGACCAATGAAATTGGTAAGCATGACCTCAGGGCCTAGGATACCTCCGCGTCTTTGTAACACCCTTGCCCTCGGAGTTTATGGCCTGAAAAGGGAATGCTTTCTTAAGTGACCACCTGCAAGCAAGAATCCCTCCCCCTAAAAATATTATTGATATCCAAACAGTTGATTTTGAGGATCTTATGACATATATGGAGGTGTCGGTGCGCATCACATGACGCTGATTATAGGGTTACAAGGCAAGCATTCCCATCTACTAGTTAGAGGTAGTTTGGTTATGTTTTGGTATTAAGCTCAATGGTTAGGAATTTGAGCACCACATGCAGCTGCAGTTCCCGTGGTCATTTTTGAACTAGATCCCGAGAGTAAAGTTTTTTTTGTGTGTGTTTTCTTGTTCTTTTTGAGGTATAGTGAGCTAATCATGGCCTAGTTCTAATCCATTTTGCTATAGGGGGATTAGACACTAACTAGACATAATTGTTAACTCATAGGAACGAGTCATGTGCCAACACCACTATGCATAAATAAAACCGGTGTTTTGTGAATAGTATGTGTAATGTTCTATGAACTATGTTTTATAAATCATGTTAGTAATATTTTGAATTAAGTGTGTGACGATTAACTATTGTTATGTATAAATAGAAATTATACACCACTTTCACTAAAACTGTTGCTTTATATCAAGATCTGGATCTTTTGGAAGAAAGAAGAGAGAGAGCAGCAATTCGACTAGGGGTATACCAGCAGCAGCTTGCTAAGGCTTACAACAAGAAGGTCAACCCAAGGGAGTTCAAGGTTGGAGACCTCATCCTAAGGAAGGTTGCTGACAATAAGAAGGATCCCAGGGAGAGCAAGCTTGGCCCAAACTGGGAAAGACCATATCGCATCATCTCGGTTGCTGGCAATGGAGCATATCGGCTAGAAGACAGTGATGGCAAGGAATTGCCAAGACCCTAGAACACTTGCAATTTGAAGTTTTTCTACCATTACTTTGAATTTAATTTAATTCTAAATTCAAATTTTGAGTTCCTAAGTAGTTTCTTAAAATTTGTAATTGTGAGAATTTAATTTAATTCTAAATTCTATTTTAGGTTCCTAAGTGGTTTCCTAAAATTTGTAACTCTTCATTTATTTATTAAACTATTTCAATGATTTAATATATATATATATATATATAAATATTTGAAATAGTTTACATAATAAAGTACCTTAAGTTTCTTTGACTTAGTCAACGAACGGATCTTTTTTCAAAATTGTGTGGTATAGCTGTTCCAAAAGATGCAAACGGACAGATTCGTTATAAACTACAATGAATTTGTTTGACATTTCAAAAATGTATCTGTTACACTTTTTGCACCTGTTCAGCCTACCGGCACCTTTTCGGGGCTGTGTAAATTTTGCCTATAAATACTGCCTTGATTCCAGCAGTCTTTACACCGGAAATTTAGTCTGAAACTATCTCATTTTGTTGTCCAAATTTTTTTATATTTGCATTATTTCCTCATATTAGTTTTGGAGATAATATTAAGAGAGTATAGAACACTAGGTTTGGTTCGCCGTACAATTTTGTTTGGTGTGCTACAACAATTTTGTGAAGATCATTGTATCCTGGGAGATAGACGCCACTCAACCGTAAGCACCGTAGCGGGGCGAATCTGTCTTAAGGACAGAGTGTTACACACTCGACTTGGTCTTGTAATTTTTATTTGGTTCGACAAAATAAATCCGGTATGTTATTTATTTATTTTGTTTGAATTTATTTCAAGTTATTTTATTTACACAGAAGATTGTTCCAATATGACTAGGATTAAAAATGTGGAGTCTATTTTTGAGTTTTTACTTTTTTAAATAGAAGACATGTAAA